GGGGGGGGGGGGGGGGGCGTTATAGGGCTGGCTGGTTGGGGCTGGGTTGGGGTTGTTGGGGTGGTTCGTGTTTTTGGGTAGGGGATGGGATGCGGTGATGGTGATAGTGAGGGGTTCCTTGGGGTGGGTATGCCGGGGGGTTGTCGGTGGTGGCTTGGGTGTTTTGCTTTTTGGTGGCTGCTGGGGGGAGGGGGAGATGGGTAGGAGAAGTTGGTGGTTGGGTGTGTTTGAGTATGTTTTTTTATTCACCGATATTATAGAGCTGCGGTTGAGAGTGGTTGGAACGCGTGGGCTGGTTAGTAGCTCCGATCGTTGAAGAAGCGGTTCTTGGTATATCTGTCTGGGGTTTTCTATGGTTGTTTATACACATCTTGACCGTTGTGAAGGGGAAAAGGGTGTAAGTTGGCGGTGTTGAAGGGAATGAACCGTAGTCTGGATATCTACTTGGATTGGTTAGTATTAAACAGTGTCCATAAGTACACACCAATACTCAGCACAGTGACCCCCAAGCCAGTCCGCGTAGGCCGAGTAAACAAGCCACAGACGCATTCAGCCCACTCGTAAAGCCACATCTGCCCGCAGCGAGCGACAGTGATCATCCTTCCACAACAGGAAACTCGTGGTCGCGAGCGCGAGCTAAGACCATCTTCCGCGCCTGTACCTGGGCTCCCATCCCCGCACGCCCACCCGCACAACGCACGCCCGCGCGCGCCAACTCACACCTCGTGCTACCTGCTTGTTCTGGTATAGCGGCCGGTGTGCCGGATCAGCGAGACTTTATTCCGCAAATGTGCTAGGTGCGTGGGTGGGCTGACTCGTTGGAGATCAATTGCAGGCTTGGATTGGGGATGGTGATGGTGATGGTAATGATGATGGGGTTTGTGTTGCTGAATGCTCAATTATCGTGTACCAAGAGGTGGCAGCAGAATGGCTTGTACATCGGCATTGTTAGTAACAGGTTTTGTCAAATAGCACAGTACAGGGAAGAAGCCTGGAAAAGAGAAGACGGAGGTGCAAAGGAGCGGCGTTGAAAAGAGCGCTAGAGAAGACAAGGAACACAACGGATTCCTGTATTTTTGCAGAGGTTGCGTGGCGAGATATATGCACTGTATTATGCCTACCGGAGACGATGATTGAGACCACAGGGACAGACACTCTGGACAGTCTATCCGACATCAGAGCTGGTCTTCCACGTCAAGTACGACAGTGGTAGCGCTTGACAAGCTCGCGTCCTACATTCCGCTTCGGTGCCGTAGGCTTGAAGATCAGACAACAGTCCTTGTGTGTCCACAGCTCCATGTGCGCCCACGGCTCCATGTGCGTAGCAACGCATACCAGGCAGTTACGTCCCACACACTACCTAGTTTCTTGTCCACTCCTCTTTGTCTTTCAAACCAACAACCAACGGCTAGGCTGAGTGTTACCGCTTGCTCGCCGCTCATCTGATTGTCACCATCTGGCCTACCTCGGCTCTGAATGTTTTGTTCGCCTTTTTGTTCTGTGGCTCTTTCTACTGCGCATCCTCTGCGCCTCTGGGCTGCTGCTTGACTCTCGGCCCATGCTTGTTTGTCCTGTCCGGCCCCTCCCCCCCTGCCCGGCCTGCCCGCCTCAAGGTCCATTGTTCAGCCGCAGAATGCCTGCTGCCACCAGGACGCCGTCCTCCATTCCGTCCCGTCCCATCCTTAACAAAGGACTCAAGATACCCAACCCGCACTCTCACCCTTCAAGCACATCCCACACCCCCACCCGCTTCTTCACCAGCCACGCCCCCTGCGGCCTCAACCGCCGATAATACTCCTCGTCGGTCCCCACGACCTCGAACCCTCGCCGCCGATACCACGCCAGCCCCTCCTCGTTGCGGACCCACACGTGCGCGCACACGGCGCCGACGTCGTAGTCCCGCGCCGCGGTGCGCGTCACGCGCTGCAGCAGGTGCGTGGCGAGGCCGTGGCCGCGGTAGGGGGAGAGCGTGCTCAGCGTGGCAATGTAGAGGAGGGGTTTGGAGGGGCCGGAGGTGGTGGTGCTGGCGCCTGCGCCGGCGGGCATGGGCAGCGCGGACTGCTCGAGCAGCCGGCACCGGATCCCGGCTACGAGGACGGTTTTGCCGCCCACGCCATTGCTGCTCTCGCTGCCGTTGGCTTCGGTGGGGTGCCAGAAGGCGCCGAGCGTCAGCGCCGACGTGACGCTGTCGGTGAGGATCTCGTCGTAGAATTTTTGCGGGTAGGGGATCTCGAGGAGGAGGGAGTTGAGGCGGCGGAAGGATGGGATGGTCGTCGCGGTGAGGGGCTCGATGCTGATGTGAGGCGCGAGTGGCTTGAGGGGAGTTAGTTTGGGGAGGGAATCTTTGGGAGCGGGTGGTGAGGGATTGGCGGCGACTGGGGGGGTGTTTTCTTCTTTAGATTCCTTGGGCTCTGGCTGCGGCTGTTGAGTCACGGCGGGCGGCTTCTTCAGCCATGTCATCAAGCTCGTCTGCATGATGGTGGTGTCTCAAGTGACAGTCGGGAACGGTCGAGCGGGAAGAGGGCGTACCTAGGGTAGATGGCACGTGACTGGCCCGGCTCCGAACTCTTGAATCTCTCCCGGCGACGTCAATCTTGCAGTGGATAGGATACCCGCCAAACACCGACACCCCTCAACCACACCATCACCATGGGCGCGGGCAACTCAAAACCCGAGGGCCAGGTCCCCCAGCACATCTTCAACGCGTACGTACCGCCATTGGCGCCTCCGCAACGCCGCATCTGCTGTAGTCGCTGACCCTTCGTCCCGCCATCCACAGCAACGCTCCCGTCCGCTTCTCCTCGGAGCTGGCCGACACGCTGCAGAACAGCCCCCAGTCGGACGCGACGCGCTCCAAGGCCGTCGAGCTGGAAGTCCAAACCCGCGTCGCCGCCGAGCTCGCCAAGCTGCGCGCCAACGAGTCGCAGCGCCTGCGCGAGCTCCAGGACCAGATCGTCGCCGAGACGGACGCGCAGGTGTCCTCGTCGGCTTCCCTGACCGAGAAGCTGTCCGCCGCCCTGTCGAGCTCCGAGACCCTGGCCGAGAAGCAGCGCCATGCCGACATGTCGCGCGGCCTCGTCGAGCGCGAGATTGCTGCCCTCAAGACGAAGCTGGAGGGCCGCAAGAAGATCGACCATCTTGACCCGGGCGTCGAGAAGGCCAAGGACGAGATCGTCGCTTGCTTGAGGATCAACGACCGGAGGCCGCTGGATTGCTGGAGGGAGGTTGAGGCGTTCAGGAGGGAGGTTGGCAGGCTCGAGAAGGAGTTTGTCGAGAAGACGGTGCGGTAGACGGTGGTCCGGGGCAATGAGCGTGTTGCCTGGGACGACGACGACGCAAAAAGACCCCGTAATTGGGGAGGGGAGCGGGTCGTGTAGGTCAAGCCCGTGTAAACATATCCTAGACGCTGGAGCTTTGCTCTCTGCAAATACTACCTTCCTAAGTCATTCACGGCAGCCCTTGGCCAAGTTCTTTTCACTTCAGTTTTCGGGCATCTTCACAATTATGCCTCCTTTCTAGGAGAAGTGCTCACACAGCGATTTCCATATAAATTCCCACCGGTCCAGACCATGGCCACTCGCCTTCATCCTAGTATCAACGATCACAGACACTTCTACAACGTACCCTCGTCTCGAACACAATTCCAAATCAAACATAAGTTGTACCGGATCCTCGATGAGTAGCAGCACGTACCCATTTCAGCCCCTCTACCTGCTTGAATACACACCTCATAGGGATATGACTTACTCTTCTACCTTCATACTTCTTTGCCCTCGCATCCTTTTCGAATACTAGGTATCTTTCCCCGGTATATCTCAGACATGCAGAGACACATGGAAATCACTCAACCCACGTCACGAACAGACTCGGCTTGCCTGCCCTACTCCGCATGTTCGCTACAACATAGCCAACACACGTCCCGCACCACATCCACCCACCCAGCATCCAAAGCCTCTCACCTCTCCACTTTCCTCCCGCTAGAAAAGACGCGCCCGTAAAGGCGCAGAGTTCCGGGTATCTCGATGTAGTAGGCCGAGCTCTGCTTGCGCTGGAGCACGAGCATCTGGTTGGTAGGGACGGTTGGTCGTGGCGTCGAGGCGTTGCATCACCTACATAGGTGGGTGGCACAACAGCCGCGTTATGTATGCTAAGTTCAAGCATGGCGACCTTTTACCTAGGGTTGCGAATTTACGGTCCGAATAGCCGCGATTTAGACTCCTTCCCAGTGCGAGTCGACAAGCGTCCACCAGCCAAATAAAGATAGTAGGCAACGTGCATGAAGCCGAGCGCCCATCAAAGCGAGCTCTTAGACATTCAATACCTAGGGACAAACAAACGGACAGTTGAGTGTGAAGAGGTGGTGTTGCTCATCGATTATTAGCAAAGACGACATTCACCATCAGCTCCTCCACATACTTAGGTAACATCTCGTCCAATGAAGCCTTCAACCCTTAGTCGTGTGCGTGCCTAAAAAGAGTCATTATCTACCCAGCAACATGATTGCTTCCGGTGAATAGACAGTCGTGTGTCTCTTGCCAGTTCCTGGAGGGCCAGGAATGAGCACGATCTGGTAGGTATTTTAGTTGGTGTGCCTTATGGGCAACCGACAGTTGATCTAGTCGATCTAGTTCTCCGCATGCTTGGCATCTTCCTCTGATAGGCCCTCAAACAAACCAAAGGTGCCTGAAGGAAAGAGGTCACGACCAACTAAGATCCACGGAGCTCTTCGGCATTCCGGCCTTCTGTCGATGAGGTGAGTTGTTTTTATTTATTTTTTTTACCGAGTATTATTTACCGAGTATTACGGCCGAGGAGATGAAGGCGTGCGGTGGATGTTGAGTCGCAGTATGTGCGAGATGAGGCACATACTTTAGGTAGGTAAGAACTGCGGGGTCAGAGTCAACGAGGGGTATAGGTACCTAGGTAGGTATCATAAATTCATTAAGTGGAAGCAGCGGGTGCGTCCCTCCTCCTTCTATCCTCCGCCCCTTCTCGCCGATAGTCCTTCCTCTTCCGCCGCGCTCCGCTCGACTATAAACCCCCCCTCTTTTCCTCTCCTCTCCTCTCCTTCACCCCTTTATCTTCGAATGCTATAGGTAGTATCCTCGCTTTGGTTGACCGAGATCGTTGTAGGTGTGGAAACGGGCTTGCAACCATCACAGACAGTGACTCGTCTTCGACCCGCGCCACCTAGGCAGAGTCATGACGCATCGGGTTTGGTTTTAGTCAACAGGAAGCTGAGAAGCGGTGCTAAGACCCTCCATCCCTCTCGGAGCTTGTCAGGTAGGTGTCGCAGGTTAATAAACGCCCCTTAGAGTGCACAAAGTGAACAGAACACTGGTACATAGCAGAACCCTCATCTGTCCGTCAGCGTCCGCACAACCCCACTTCCAAATATAGGATTTAAATAGCATAAATGCCAAATCCTTCGTCACCATAACTGCTATAAGGTCGAGGCGATGACGCACCCGAATTAAGACCATGGAACCAAAGTAAACATGGGATCGGACTTCGAGAGTTACCCAATTAGTAATTATTCGGATAAGAGGGCGTCTGAGCAGTGCAGTAAACGTCGAATAGTCTCCAAGAAAAAAGAGGATATAACGGCGCTGATATTTCGACTAGGCTAAAGAGCAACGACGGTACCTAAACAGACCGAGGGATACCTAGGTACTCACGGGTCTTCAGTCAGTTTCGGGTAAATAGTTATATAGGTGTTGTCCGAGCCATGTTCTTCGTCGAGGGCGTTTTTAGCCTTTGCATCCAGGTAGACCTGGCCCTTGTATGCAAGTAGGTACCTAGGTAGGTACCTACCTATGTACAATGACGTTGGGCATTTATTTGCCTCCGCGATTTCTTCCATATATCATTGTGTACCGCCTAGTCGACCTGAGTATGAGACTTGAGGTCGTAGGTGCAAACGTCACTTACAAGAGACGCATTGGTGCAATACACATGGTATGGGACATAGGGGTTGGTCGGCAAGTCTTCCAGTTGTTCCTTCTCAACCATTTCCCTGTGATGCTCCCAGCTACAAACGTCTTGGAATGTCAAACTCTCTTGTCACCAATTCATTATAATGTCGACATTCATCACCCTCTGACACCTCTTTCCACCAACTTCCGGCAGAATTGATGACGATCTTCATGAATTACTGGCGAGCGTTCACCTTTTCTTCGCTTCTCAGAGAGATTTATGGTTACAAAAAACAAAAATTCCTATTTATTGCACCGCGGACATCGAACGGGTCTATCTGATACGCAGGTAATATCAAACTTGCCAATAACATGAAAAATTCGGCATACGGCATAAACATGGCTTATAACCTCGAAGTTCGCATGCTTCTTGGAGTCCGAGACCTTTTGGCTTAGGGAGCCTTTGACAGAAACTCATGATCATACCTATAACATACTACTCTCTTATGATGTTTGCAAAATCCAGAACCATAATTTCAGCCCACGCCCAGCTTCTATGCCCGTGAAGGATCATAGGTGAGAATTCACTGTTCATGTATGATGCCGGGTATGTCCCTCCCTTAGAACCGAGACTCGTTAAAGTGGATATGAAGACCCATGGATCAAAGGCTTGACCTAGCAAATAAACATTGTAAAAAGCGAGTATGTGGTGAGGGGGGTATCAGCGATGGTGATGATTGCGACGCCAAATGATGAGATAATAAAATAAACAGTATACTGCCGAGACAATAACGGAGATTTTGGATAATCGTGTCTTCCCGTCATACAGGCATATACCAGCCCTCCTATTTTGTCAGATTCGATACTAGCACATACTTCCGGTCCCCTGTCGCAAGGATAGCAGATTGGTTTCGAGGTAGCATCAGGAACCTTCCCTATGGCATGTTCAATGGAGACGAAACCCGCCAAAGGGGTGCGTACATACCTTAGAGCGAACAGGCGCAACTAGCAATACATAAAACGATTTGCTGCCCTCCTGAACAGTCTGGCTGATACTAGCGTCTGATTTTTAGGGCGAGCATCGTATATCCCGAGTATTTCGAGGGACAAAACATCAGCGATAAGCACGAGCAACTCTTCCCAGGAACGGGACAAGGTGATGCACTCCAACTTGAGCTCCCTCAGCGTCTTCGCATGCTTCCGGAAAAAGGCCTTGAGCGCCTCATCTTCACACTCAATTCCTTTGAGGGACAAAGAACGGAGCTTCGGCAGGTAAATGTCTTTTGAGAAATCACCAAAGACCCGAACAGAGTTTTCCTCGAGATTGGACGGAAAACTTAGATGCAAAAACTGTAGCGTCTTGGAAGTCGAGCCCACAAACTCCGCAAGCCAATCCGGCCTCACATCAGCCATCGGCACAAGCGGCTTTCGCAGCGGCAACGACAGTTCCCTGAGCCCCAGCATAGCCGTATCGAGCAGCTCGCTATCCTGTCCATAGAAGTCAGGGATAACACCCCCATCCACGACTCTCAGCACCTCCAAAACGCGCGGGCGCCTCGTTGACGCTGAGAGAAGGACCCGCATGAAGTCTGCTTGGCTGTAGTAGTCGTAGATGGGCTCCCACTCCTCCTTCTGCAGCTTGTTGAACATATCTTGCTCTGTGCAGCCCGGCCAGAATGGCAGTGTTGACTTCCATTCTCGCGGGACGAAGACGACAACCTCGCGCAAGTTGGGGAAGTTGCGCAGCGCAGCATCGAGCATCTGCGCGGCTTTGCCAGAAGCATGCAGCTGCTGCTCGGATGTCGTTATCGCTTTGTACTGCAGGTACGTGGCGCGTCGCTGCGCGCGAATCTCCTCAGTCTGGGCCCTGTCGATCCAGTTCTCGAAGCTGCGGAACGCGTCGGCGCTGAAGCGCTCGATGCCAAAGGAGAGCGTGCGGACTGTTGCGGCGAGATACGCGATTTTGGAGAAGGACGTAAGGAGGTTTAGGTGGGATTGCACGAGACGGAACTTCCGCAGCCAGAGGGTGCGGCCGAACGCGCCCCATGATGCCTCGTAGAGGGGACGACAGGAGAGGCGAGCATTGTGGAGGTCTTCGAGTATGGTGTTTACGCTGATGCCGGTACGCGGACGTGTGGGGCGAAGGTAGTCAACGATGCTTTCGCGTAGCTCCAACGGAAGGCTCGCCAACGGCATTACGGTTGTCAGTAAGTCCTAGGAAACAAGGGAGTTTAACTCGGAAAAGGAATATGATTTCAAAGCTTCTAAAACTACTACCAGGGGAATTAACTGCGCAGGGAACTGCGATGATTATATGTGTGATTGCAAGTGCGGGGGATATGGAGGGGCAGTGCATTGGTCTAGCCTATTTCGGAATACAGGTTGGTGGAGATGCATGTGAGCATTGGCAAATGCACCATTACAAAATCATTAGCGAAAGCGGCATGCGCGGCTGCGACGAGGATGCTGTTTGGTTTTGTTTTGATCCTTTGCTATTGTACGACCTGGCGGTAGTATTTCATGCGCTTATCCTTACTATTCCGATCGGAGGATTAGATATTGTTATGGTTCGTACGCCCTTCTGAACTACTTCAACTAGTTACGAGCTCAGCTTCGAGTACAGGACAAGAAAAAACCAGCAAGGAAGATTTAAGTCTACTCACGGGAGCATGTTGGTATGATTGTACCTAAGTATCTTTAACATCTAAATCTGGAGCACTTGCACTTTCGCTTCTTCAACCTACCTCTCACTGTGGGGGTGTGAATGACAACATCTGTCCTTGTAATCGTAGTACATGAATTCTGAAGCAAGACCAGATAGGAATGTTGGATCCAAGCACAATCATTGGAGCTACGCAAGGCTCTATTTGCTTCATCAGACACCCTTACTTCCTCCCTAACCAACACTCCTCCCCCTGACAGCCACTACCTCCGCCTCCACATGCCTTGTCGTCTGACCTCTATAATACTTTCTCCCTCTTACAAGCCAGTCGACCGCAATAATAAACATAACCACGCCATAAACCGCCGAGACATAGTTCATATTGCTCGCCTCGACTGGTTTTGCGTATGGGAAGCTGTACATGATGACAGTAAAGGCAGTCCAAGCTAAGAGAACACAGTTGGCGAAGAAACCAATGGGTCCAAGCCAGAAGGGCCCGTGATGAATGTTGTTGCGGCCTTTGATGAGCAGGCAGACGACTGGAATCGAGTACGACACGTACAGCAGGACGATACAGGCGGTGACCATACTGGAGAGCGTCAGCAGTGTTTCCAAGAGCTTTGGGGTCCGGGGGGGGGCGAGTCTTACCTGTTAAATGCAGTGTAAGAGCCCAAATATAAGCAACCCACGGCCGCAACGATGACGCAGCTCACCGCATGCGCATAGAGCGGCACATCTAGCCTAGGATTCACTTTCGCCAGCCACCGATTGCCAGGGACGCCGCGATCACGCGCAAAGCTCCAGCACAGACGGCTCTGCCACGTGTGGCTCGCAATCAGGCAGCCCAAACCCGTGAGAATGACCAGAGTCTCGAGCACGCAGGCGCCGATTTTGTTCCTGAGCGCGCGGTAGAAGAGTTCGAGGATCGGGACTCCGGTGGACGTGTCGACGAGCTCTTGAAAGTCGCCGACGATGCTGAAGAACATGGACACGGAGTAGAACCAGGAGGTCACGAAGCCGATGGCTATGGTCCCCATGATGGAAATGGGGATCATGCGTTCTGGGTGATGCACCTCTTCTGCCAGGTGCGTTGCGCAGTCCAGACATGCAAAAGCCCAGTTCGTGTTCACCATTCCAACGATGAAGGCGATGCCGCCTTGAGACCAACCGGTGTTGTTGATGAAAGTTGCGAAGACGAATTTGGCATGCTGGTGGGTTGGTGCTGCCGCCGGGACCGTTGTCAGGATAATTGTGAAGGAGAGTAGCGTGATGTAGAGCGACGTGGATGATACAATAGGCAGGACCTTGCCAAAGCAGTTGAAGAAGAAGCAGATGATGTTGGCGATCTGGTACGCAACGAACACATGCCAGCTCTTCACCACGCTTTGAGGGATTAGCATCACAGCCAACCATCTCAGAAAAGCATACTCACAAGTCCGGATGGGTTAATTGCCAGCAGCCACACAGCGCGCTCCCAACAGCTAACGCGACACTTGCCGACGTAAAGATCGATCCCGCCCAAGCGCACCATCCCGTTAGGTACGAAGCAAAGTTCGCAAATCTCTTTGGTGCCAGCTCATTCGCCCAAAAGTACTGACCGCCCGCATTAGGGAATGCACTCGCCAGCTCCGAAAGCGAGATGCCCACGCAAGTCGAGAGTAGAGCGATGATGATGATGCCGTAGATGATGAGCAGAGGCCCACCGGAATTAATTCCCGTCACCAGTGCTGCGGATATCCCGAACCAGGAGTTTGTGAGTGAAAAGCCGACACCCAGAACCGACCATATGGAGAAGTTTCGCTGCATGTCCTGGGTGTAGCCCATCTCTGCCAGCTTGGCAGCATCAGCATCCACACTTTTTACTTCTCCAATTTCGTAGTCTGAAGAGGGCTGCGCCACTCTCTTGATTTCTTTTTCTTTCTCCATTTTGTCCTCCTAACTAATCAGCTCTGCTTCGAAAGACGAATTATTTGAGAGACGTGAAATTGGGGCTGAGGATCGTCGGTACTGCTCAAATGCAAGGTCGCGTGGAGTCGGGACTGCCTGAACTTAGACCGGTATACTCAGTCTCACGCCTGGCATATAACACACGGCACTTGGAGGCGCGTGACTTCTAACTTGAAAAGCACCGATTTCAAAAGAGTTGACGACAAAGCCACCGTTGCTTAGGGTCTTGAAAGAAGAGGGGGGACTGGAAATGTCTCGCAAAGACTGAAAAGATTTGCCAAAAAAGGAAGTGTTGATGCGACTGGAATCTGCCTTTCCCCGCTCCAAGCTCGTGACGTCCGAGGCTGTATCGCCGCTGTCCAGAAATCAAGACACCAGCGGGAACAGGTCAGCTAAATACCGGGCACGAACTCCTGAAGATAACAGCCAATCTGCGAATCACGATTATGTTGGCCTTTTTTGGGGCCCGTGTCGCAAAGACCAGCAGAGAGAGGTGGGGTTGCGCCTCGCATGATTCCAAGGTGAATAGAAGCGACGGGCGGTGGCTAGCAGGCTAGATAAGAAGAAAAGCAGGGCCCGATCCAGACTTCTAGCGGCTTTTGACGATCCCGTAACTTGGCATGGAGGTTCCCCAGAATGTTGATGAACATTACATCGGAGTTCCTGTGATGCCACTGCTCAGCTCTAGCTGGACCTCTATCATGGCTCTGGGCATGACTGACTGCCCTTCTACTATCAGTGGTTGAGTTTGGTGTGCGTTAAACCCTGGATGCATTCCGGGGGCGCCGTGGCTTGCTCGTTCTCATCTCTCAGACATCTCCAGGCATTATGAAGAACCAAGCTCTTGACCTGCCACCGAGCGTCATCAGCGCAACCCTGCCAAGAGCACACAGAGCTCAAGATGCCGCAGTGACCCGCCGATACGCAGGGCTTATGTTGCCTCAAGCTGCACGACACCGAAGCTAAAGGGACCGTACAACGCTTCCTGGTACAGCATTGGCACAGCCAAAAGGCCAAGAAGGAAGAGCGGGCAAAAGGCAAGCCCGGCAAGTCCTTGGAGCTGGGTGAAGATGATTGGAAGAAGAAAGGATAGCAGGAGCGAATGACAATGTCGGACAGAAAGAAAGGCTTATCGCTGGCGAGAAAATATCCCGCGCCTATCAAGCAGCCACGATACCTCTGTCAGCTTGGGACGGCGCGGTACGACAGCAACGTGACGCAGAGGCAGTCAGCAGCAACTGCAGCCATCCCGTCAGCGCTGTTGCGAGGCATGACCAGCGCGTCCTCTCAGACCGAAGCCACAGTACCGCGCACCGCACACGTCAACCATCGTCGACGCCTCGAGGGCAAAACGAGGGCAAAACGAGGGCAAAACGAGGGCAAAGGCGATGCCCCCGGGGATAGTCGATCCTGCCGCATGCGGTAAACCTTTCCCCTCACGGCATATCCATGCTAAACTCTCTGGCTCTGGGTCCAAAGTGACATGTGACGAGGATTCCAGCCGCGATCAGCAGCCAAAAGCTTGACGTCGAGCTTGCAGGGCGATAGGGTGTTGGTCTCGCGTGCCGACCCGCGCAGCGTCGAGGAGAGGAAGGCCGAGGCGGAAGGAGCGCATGGCCCTGCGACGCCGTTTGGCTTCCGTTAGTCATGGCCGCCCTTCCCCAGAAGAGGGCGCACTAGGTAGGTAGGTACCTGCAAAGTATCATCAACGACCATGCCGGCTGCGTGCGTGCTGTGCGTGCGTGCCTCTCTGCGCAGATAATTCGGCCATGCGCATTGCTCATGGCAACGGTCTGTTGCTGCTGCTGCTGCTGCTGCAGAGAACAGGGAGCTCAGCCAGAATGGGCGCGTTGCTCGTCTCAGCCGCCCTCTTTCTCTCTCTCTCCCCTTCAAGCAACCAAGCAGGCAGGCAATCCCCCATTCCAAACACCCAAGCTGGCGCCACAGCGATGATCTCCGCAAGCCATTTCCGAAGCCCTCGCTGCGCAAAGACTCCCCCTCGAGCCTTGCCACGATACGCGCGTCTCTAATCTCTGCCCTGCGCCTCCGTGTTCCAGCTCCAGGCACGCCGCAACCATCTGTCGCACACACACACACACACACACACCCTACGTATGTATTGTACGTAGTAGTAGTTCCATCAGGCGGCACCAGCAGCAGCAGTAGCGACGGCAGTAGGTAGTACTGTAGCATCAGGCCTCCACCACATCTCTCCCTATGTACCCCAAACTGTAACGCCATACTACAACTCTATTGACCTTTTCCCCGCCCACACTCACCCCCACGCCCCTAAAACCCGAACTTGCGTGCATCAATCGCCGTGGCATGATGGCAAGCGGCGCAGTTCTTGGCGCCCTTGGCCTTGGCTCCGGAGCAGGGCATACCTATGACAGGCAGCAGGGCGGGCAGACAGGGCGGGCAGGCAGACAGGCAGGCAGGGCAGCCAGCCCTCTTTGCCCTGACGACGCCCCGACGCCTGAACGCCCTGACGCGCGCCGCACTGCCGCACCACCACGCCCGGGCAATCGCCAAAACCAAAAGGGGCTCAGTGCGCCGGCCGCGTCTTGTCCTGTTCCTGTCGTCCTGATCGCCGCCGTCCCGCGCGCGCGTTGCACCGCGCACCGGGCACTGATAGGCAGGAGCGCCGTTGCTGTTGCTGCTGCCGCCGTTGCTGCTGGGCTGAGCTGAGCTGAGCTCCAGCTGTGGGTGCCCTGACTGCTGAGCGCTCCCCATGCTGGCCAAAAACGCTGTGACCTTGTTTCATAGTACGTGGTTATCTATGTATTGTGATGAAAA